GGGGGGGGGGGGGGGGGGGGGGGGGGGGGGGGGGGGGGGGGGGGTGTTGGTGGCGATGGTCGCGGCTTATTCTCTCGGGGAGGAGAACATTCTGCCCCATCTCTGCCTGTTGTTCGAGGTGTGTGTATGTGTGCGGCCGTGTACGTCGTGCGTTGCTGTGTTTATGTTAGTGGTGGCGGCACAGTGACAGCTGATGCTGATGCTGCTGCTGCTGCTGCTGCTGCTAATAATCTTTGAGACATGCGTGTACAAGCGCATGCCCAACTCTCACACGTGATTTTGCTGCTGCTGTCATGCCGGCTCTCGCGCAGGCCCTCGTCCTGTCAACCTCCCGACGAATGAGGTACTTTAAGGGTGAGGCCCTGCCGCGGCCCGGTGTCAACGGCAACACCGCAAGTTCCAGTCACCCGATCGTCACCCTAGGCCGGCCGGAAGCAGGAGCGGCAGGAGGAGGAGGAGGACGGTTCGTCGAAGAGGGGGACAACAACGCATCGGCAGCGGCGGCGGCGGCGGCGGCGATTGGGGGTCTACGGGTGTCGACGGCGTTGGGAGACGCTTTGGCGGAGGCGTTTCGCCGACGTCCGTTCCACCGCTTCCTGGTGTCGCTGAGGTGCATTACGGCGGAACTGCCGACCCTGGGAAGGTGCGTGCGTGCGTTTTCTCTATGTCTACTACGTTTTACTTCGTAGTAAGAGTAGTTTTGGGCGTATAACGTTGGTCGCACTAGCTAATTGAACGGCTGGCCTGAGGCGACGTTCGTCTCGACACGGAGTGTGCGTGTCTGCGTGTTTGTACGCGTGGCTTCTGGTTTTAGGAGTTAGCATTGGCCACGCTGGCTTTAACTAAGCGGCTGGCCAATGACAACCACGTTGGTCTCGGTGCGGGGTGTGCGTGTTGCGTGAGCATGAAATTCTGCTGGTGGTCGTGTGAAGACTCTTTTTTTTCGAGGCGTGGCGGAGGTCGTGGTACACCGGGGGGGGGCGAAGGAGTTGGTAGAGCTGTTTGGCAGTTCGTGAGAGGACGGCACAGCAGTGGTCGAGCACGGCTCTCGGTAGTATCCGATACATTGGTAAGACTGCTGTCGCTGGCTGCCCCAACCTCTTCTACCCCTACCTACTCTGCGAGTATAGGACCCCACTATTCAAGTACAGGTGGTGTTGTTGTTTTTGTTGTTAATGTCTCACGTTCACATCTCATTTTTCCGTTTTCTCTACGCAGTGCCTTATTCTGTCCGTACTAGTCTGACACCACTGACCCGTTTCAATTCCCGTGGTCACAGGCTAAGTTACCCAAAAATAACCTCAGTGTATTAAGATGGGCAACCAATTATGTTGTCCCTCTGAGTTTGTGTGTGCCAAGGTCGATAGTTACAGAGCAGCAGCGGCTGCAGCAGCGTTTGTTTGCAACCTGTTATACATTTGACTGTTGTCAGCCACGTGAAGCTCTTTGTCCAAGCTGATCCAGGGGCCACCATCGTGTAGTACCCGCTTTCACGACAAGCAGTCGTGTTCTTACTTCCAACAAAAATTCTCCTCAAAGCGGGCAGGTATACTTAAAGGTATAATCCCTTACTATGTCGTCGTTGCATTTTGACGGGCACCACGCTACTCAAAAACAATTGCGTCCTAAAACCGGGGGGGGGAAGGGGGGGCCTACTCTTATGTTTTGCATGTCTTAGCGGTCTGACCATTGACCACGCGTCCTCGAGAGGACGGAGCATTGTTCCCACAGGACC